GGGCACGTGTCGAAATAGTCGCGTAATGAATGTGTAATCGCGCGGCGGCCGCCGCAGCTGCGCACGTCGGCGCTGCTTGCGCTGCTGCACGGCCGGCGCGTGCCTGTCTAACACATCGTCAAACATCTACGCCGGCAAAGCATCGTCAACGTCCAGCCGGCAAGCACATCAACGTCCACGGGGTGTGTGCCGGCATCATCATCCAACGTCCAACATGGCGATCATGCATCTAATGGATTCTGTCTGGTCGCTATCAAAGCGCTATCGCCGCTGCTGGCGGTGCCGTGGGCGCGCGACGAAACCCGACTTCGCTGAGTAATTATTTTAAGTACTGATTCTACAATCGCGAAGTTCTTGCTTCCTTTCCACATTCTGATCGCTCTCGGATCGGCGCGCGTCAGGAAAAAAAGAGACAAAGGGAGAAAAAGAGAGAGAGGAAGAAGAGGAGAAAAAAGTTACTGAACTACATGCATTCACCACACATACGGGCAGCGCGTCATTTCATCTATAGTCATGATTATGTCGGCGACCTAGCGCGCAATCTATCGCCGATAAGACCGGATGCGTAACCGCCGGCGTGGATCGTCACGTGAAGTGCGCACGCGTGAACCTGCGACCTGCACTAACGTAAGAGTGCGTAACCTGCGACGGCTGCACTGCGTAAGATGCGTAAGCCTGCGCACGCGTACGAGGCGATCTTACCGACGTATTTACGACTATAACATCGTAATTCCCAGTCGACTGCAAAATCGTTACATCAACGCGCGCGAATTAGCATACTGTAGTAGTCGGCGATTCACCACCGGAGGCAGAGAGCGGTCGCGCGATATATCGATATATATATACACACACACACACGCAACAGTACAAACGCACGCGCACACGCACACCACAGCGCTACGACACATCAACGCACGACGCACGCGCGACACACGCTACACACGACACACATCACACCCACACGTACACACAAACATTACACACACACTCACATACCACACACACACACACACACACGACACAGCACACACACCACACACACACACACACACACCACACCGCGCGCGCGCAGCGCACACACCTACACACCACCCACACTACACACACACAGTCACACACACCACACCGCGCGCCGCGCGTGCACACACATACCTCACCGCCATAGGACGCGCCGCGCGATGCACGACATGTATAGTCGCCAGACGAGAGGAGAGAGACAGAGAGAGAGAGAGAATAGAGAGCGAGAGAGAGAGAGAGAGAGAGAGAGAGAGAAAGAGAAAGAGAAAGAGAAGAGAGAGTAGAGAGAGGAAGGAGAGACAGAGAAAGAGAGAGAGAGAGAGCGAGAGAAGAGAGAGAGAGAGAAAGAGAAAGAGATAAAGAGAGAGAGAGAGAGAGAAGAGAGAGAGAGAGAGAGGAGAGAGAGAGAGAGAGAGATAGAGAGAGAGAGATAGAGAGAGAGAGAGCGAGATGAGCGAGAGAGAAGAGAGAGAGATCGGATAATGTGCGGTGGCGGTGTCGCAGCTGCAAGCACGGCAAAATTACTTAATGCGAGTTTCGCATGCCTCGACGATTTGCAAAACGCATCGTGAGGAGCAGCGCAGCACTGTCAAGCATAATTATCGGCGTCACGGACTAAAAGCTGCACGCACGGCCAGCGTTGCGTAGATCATACTGCCCTACATTCTCCACTAGCAGGCAAAAAAGCGCCAGAGGAACGGCGAGAGATAGACGAGGTGAGAGAGAGCGAGAAAGAGAGAGAAGAGAGAGAGAGAGAGTGAGAGAGGGGAAAATAGTGAGAGCGCACACTAAGAAGAGAAGAAAGATGCGAGAGAGCGCGGCGCGTGGGGGCTGCGCACAGAAGAGAGCGACAAAGAGAGAAGAAAATGAGAGGGAGGGGAAAAAGAGAGCGTGGAAATAGACAGAGAAAGAGGCAACACGATAGAGCAGAGAGAGAGAGAGAGAGAGAGAGATGAGAGAGAGAGAGATAGAGAGAGAGAGACGAGAGAGAGAGAGAGAGAGAGATGAGAGACGAGAGGGAGAGAAAGAGCGAGCGCGTACGAGAGCGAGGGTGTGCGCCAGAGAGGACAGCCGGAAAGAAAAATCGAGAGATGAGGCGGAGAAAGAGAACGTGATGATAGACAGACGAAAGAGGCAACATGATAGAGCAAGAGAGAGAGAGAGAGCGAGAGAGAGAGACAGAGAGCGAAGAGAGTAGAGAGAGAGCGTAGAGAGAGAGAAGAAGAGAGAAAGAGAGAGAGAGAGAGTAGAGAGACGAGAGGAGAGAGAGAGACGCAGAGAGAGAGCAGAGAGAGAGAGAGAGAGAGAGAGAAAGAGGGGAGTAAGAAAGTAAGAGGCAGGACGATAAAGTCATACAGAGAGAGTGAGTGAGTGAGAGAGAGAGAGAGAGAGAGAGACAGACAAAGAGGGCGACAGGCGGACACACTGTAGTAGTCGAGACACGCTGCTGTGTAAAGGAAGAGTACCAATGTACGCCACGCCGTTTCATCACGAATTGCACGGAAGGAAATTCTTGCCGCATTGAAATTCGGCGGCTGGGAAATGGCGAGCGTACGACCGCGCCTGGAGACCTCGGTCGAGAGCCGAAGCATAATAAGCGACAGAAGTTTCGCTCGCTCGCAAGTGGGCACCGCACACGCGCACACACTCGCGGCAAACGCTGCAGTGATCGCTCGGAAACTACGGCGGAATTCCATACATGCTGTATTTCTCTCCTACTTACTTTACTGCCTTCCCTTACTTAGTGTTTTACAACCTATTGCATTGTTCCTTAACCTACTGAATTGCTATTCGACCTAATGTATTTCTATTCCATATATTGTAATGTTACCTCGCCTGTTGTATAGTTACTCCACCTATTGCAGTGTTGATCCACCTATCGCCTTGATTCTTACCCATTGCACCTCCCGCTATTGCATTGATTTTCCTCTATTAAACTGTTCTTCCACTCATTGCATTGTTTCCTCGCCTACAGCTATTTACTTCCACCCGTATTACGTACATGACCCCCCAAGACACTCGTGTCTCACTTACATGACGCCCAAGGCACTCGTGTCTCAATTACATGACCCTCAAGACACTCGTGACTCACTTACATGACCCTCAAGACACTCGTGTCTCACTTACATGACCACCAAGGCACTCGTGTCTCACTTACATGACCCTCAAGACACTCGTGTCTCACTTACATGACCCTCAAGCCACTCGTGTCTCACTTACATGACCCCCGAGACACTCGTGTCTCACTTACATGACCCTCAAGACACTTCATTTCGAGTCATGAGTGCTGACACATTTGTTCTGTCAGACGTGTGCTACTCGAGACATGCTTGTGGGTCTATCTTGGTTAATTTTTACTCAACCGTGTTGATTCAAAACGTACTGCTGACGTTTCGCCTCCTATCAGGAGGAAGGACCAAGCTGTTGACCACTACACCATCTGGTGGTCAAATCTGATAACTTCAGTCAGCTTTGAGAAAGCCTCTGATAGGAGGCGAAACGTCAGTAGTACGTTTTAAATCAACACGGTTGAGTAAAAATTAACCAAGATTACTACTATCATCATAACCAAGAACCACTATTATCTACCAACCGAATGAACTTATTTAATGATGCTTGTGGGTTTTTGGCTTATGCCACCTCACACTAGGGGGAGGGGGTTGGTAGTGTACCTTCTCCTTCAGCTCGTTTTCGCTCTCCAGCGCACCGATGCGGGTCCGCAGCTCCTCCGGCCATTGCGCCGGCGGTGGCGGCGCTGCTGCTGCTGCTGGTGGCACCCCCGATGCCTGCGACGACGATTCCGGTCCATCACACTTATTTGTCAGCTGCAAGAAAAACAGCAATTCGTGTACTTCGCTAGGACTCGTGTATTAGATGTGCATGCCTGTTGTGTTGTGTTGTGTTGTGTTGTGTGTGTGTGCGTGCGTGTGTGCGTGCGTGTGCTTTCGTATTTGTGGATTACGTTACATAATAAACTCTATATACTATAATATAGACTGACCAGTCATAGATATATAGGTTGCACTGAACGTCTGTCCATTACCAAGTTTATACGTATGACTTTGCAGCGGCTTAACTGAAGAAGGAAGGGAGAATATGTACGGGCCACTCGCACGCGTGTGATGTGATGCTAGCATTGCGAGTATAATTACATGCTTTGTCTTAATGCATGCCCACTGCTATACCCCCCTAGAGAGAGCATTTCTAAGACTTCATGAGAAATTTAAGTTCCACTTGCCATACAGCTACCAATACGTACACTACAATACTACACACACATACACGTTGTTGAACTTCGTCCCACTAACCGATCCTGACTTGCTTCCCAGCTGTTGTCACACATTAAAATTTATCTTGCAATCCTGTGTGTCCCGTGTCAATATATATATATATATATATATATATATATATAACACATATATAATACATACATATATATAATACATATATATATATAACACATACCCATGGTGTCCTCAACATTACTTCTACCCTGCAAACCACAGCTTGTGTAGCACATTAACACCTACTCGTGGCGTCCTCAACATTATCTCTAGCCTGTGAGGCAGACCTTGTGTCACACACACCCATTATATTCTTAAAATTAATTTTACCATGTGAAGCATATCTTATTTAACACAACATCACTAATCTGACTGCATTTTGTTGGCTAACTCGCTAAATACATTGTCTATGTCATTCTCAACGCGGACAATATTGTCGAGTATTTTACTAGCTAACTAATCGACCAGCCTGTCGAGGCAAGTTACGCATCC